ACCTTCTGTTATATTTTTTAAGTTCAGATATTGTATTTCTCATTTATGACTGGTTGTGTCTTATGGTTCTATTTTCATTTTTCATGCTGTGAAAGTTCTCACTAAGTTCCTTGGGCATGCTATAACCATTGTTTTGAACTCTGTATCTGGTAGATTGCTTGCCTACATTTTATTTAATTACTTTGCTGGAGAATTCTCCTGTTCTTTCATTTGGGGCATGTTTCTTTTTTCCCCCATTTTCACTGCTCTCTGTGTTTGTTTCTGCGTATTAGGTAGATCTGCTATCTCCCAGTCTTGGTACGGTGGTTTATATAGGTGTCCTGTGGGAACCAGAAGCACGTTCTCCTTGGTCACCTGAGCTGGGTTCTCCAGGAATGTCCCTTACCTGAGCACATCTGCTGGAGTTGACTTGTGGTTGCTGTTGGGGTGTATGTATGTGGGGGTCAATCCTCAGGCTGGCTGACCCTGAAGCTTGACTCTGACCACAGTGCACAAGTGGCTTTGCATGTTGACCACACAAAGTGGAATTTGCCTCCGAAGGGTCAGTTGCCTACTGTGACCTCACTTTGGATGTGTCACTTGTGGAGCTCCTTGGATTCTGCTTCAAAATCATCTGAAGTTGCCATTTTGTGTGTTGTTTCTGGGGGCTTCTTGGGAGGGACTTCATGCAGTTGATGTCAGACGCTGCTTATGCCTGGCCCTGGGCAACCTGTTTGGAGCTAAACAGTGCTTCATGGTTTGTGGCTGCCTCTGCTAATCTGGGTGTGTGTGGAGGGGCCATACTGCACATGGAAGCCAGCCTCCACCAGCACGGATCCCCAGACAGGTGAGCCGAAGGCCCAAGGACCCTGATATCCACCGCCTCCTGCCTCTGCCTGATGGATGACTATTAGGTAAATCCCTGAAGGAGCCTGTGGCAGTACACGAGTAGCATGAGGTAGGTTCTCAGTGAGTCACCAGAAAGCAGTGAGTGTTCTTCACCAAACTGATTCAGGTCCAAAGCCACCCAGCAACATCCCAGCAAAGCTGCTGCTACCCAGCAGGTGCCTGCAGATGTTTATAGTGGAGCAGGGTCCCGGGGAGTCATCTGGGGGCAGCTGACAGTGTTTATCTGACCCAAACAGGCCAAGGTTTGGCCATGGGAAGGCAGAGATCTGCATTGGTCAGGCATGTGAGGGAGAGATCACCCCGTCTGAGAGCCACACAACTCAGTCTGTCCAAATTTAGACTTCCTGGAGATCCTGAGTTTGACAGGGATCTCCTGGGAGTGAGTGGCACTGGTCCAAATTTAGACTTCCTGGAGATCCTGAGTTTGACAGGATCTGGTGGGTGGGGCTAGTGGATCTCCTGTGAGTGAGTGACACTGGTCAGACTTGCAGGAGGTGGCAGGGGGAGATTCCTCCCACCCCAGGGCCATGTAACTCAGTCACTGACACCCTCTGAGTTGGCATGGACCTCTACATTCTGGCCCCAGGTAGCTGGCTCCTCCTCAGGCGTGAGCTCTGCAG